GATTAATCGGGTTATTTTAAGGGAGTTTTCATCATCTTGAAAATATTTTCATTTAGGAGAACTTAATGGTTTATGACTATGAACCAATTTTCAAATAAATACGATTATTCCAACTCCTAATACTTCTAATGTGGAGTTTAGACGGAACAGCCTGTATATCAAATAGGTTGATATAGTTTGGCATTAAAATTGTTACATATTAGTTTGCAGATTTACAGAACTTTTTTGGGAGTTTGAAACAAATGGAACAGAAATTATAAAGAGAGTTACGTTGAAAAATAGGGTTGTTACAAACACACCAAAGAAAACACAAAACACAGTTTATAACTTTACCTTATACTCCCTCAATCACAAGAGTTTTGAGTAAAATTTTCAAAAATCTTGACTTCCAAGTTGTTTACAACTCTGGCAGAAGTCTCAAAAGTTTTCTTGGTAATTCTAAAGATAAAGTAGGACCATTAGAAAAATCTGGGATTTATGAAATTAATTGTTAAATAAAGTAGAATAAAAATACTACTTCGTACATCGTATATTTTAAGTGCAATAAACGTGCATAATATTCTTATATCGAAAGAAATTAAAATATTGACACAAGAGACACCTTTTTAGATTAAGTAATTTAGTTTAGATTGTAAAGAATTAAAGCATACGAGTAACTCGTCCGCATCATCTGGAACCTCACAATAAAATTTTGTACACACATAAAACCGTACCGCAAGTCCAAACTTGTAATCCAAAGTAATACCCGCTAAAGAAAAAGTCATTGGTGTCATGGTGTTTGACATAAACATTAGCAATATTTTTCTATTCCTAATATTCCATGTGTTCCAAGGACAAGTCATTAGTGTGTCAAAAACTTGACTCGTCTAAAAAATCAAGAAAGAATAACATTTTCACGTAATTTCGTGTCTAAGATACTTCATCAGTAATTGCTTGACCTGCAGCCGAAAAAGTATACACAATGAGTCCATTAGAAATTGCTATTACAACCAAACGTATTTTAAGTATGTTACTTGAACTCATGAAAATCTAAAATTTTAATTAGATTCAATGTTGTAAAACCTTTATTATTTATCTCACATAAAGGACAAAAAACAAGACAGCAATAGAGCAAAGAGCTCCTATGAAAATAAAAGTTGGCATTGCCATCTGAATTATAGAAATCAATTTTCTCAAAGACCTACAAAATTAAAAATAAATGTAAAAAAGTAATCAAACATGCTATATCATGACTTCAATTAAATTTCTGATCAAAGTTGACTGAGATGATAGAATTAAGCTTGAAACATTCAAGAATAATATTTTTTTTACCAATTTAATTCAAAATCGCAGTCTACTTTAATATCAAATTTAATTGAAGTGAAGTTTATGTACATTTTCAACTTGACATGATGTGATATGCAAAGGCACAATTTTCTAAAAACCATCTCCTGATAGTTTCCATCGTCCAATACATCTAAATTATGAGAGGTTGAAAGTTGAATAATTTGTTGGTTGACGAGCATCAACTGTAAATGTATGTGTAAAATTCCGTAAAGCATTAAACCCGGCAGACGAAATGCCGTAAATGCCATCATTTGAATAGTCGAAAAATAAAAATAGTAACATAATTTCCAATAAACTCCAAGATATTTTTTAAAAACTTGTATACACAGAAACCATTCACTTTGGTCGCCCCACACTGGAAGCAAAATGATTCCTAAAAATGCAAACCAAATCAACGTGAAATAATTTCGTATATTAATTTGCGCTGATCGCTCATAAATCAGATTTTTCACTTGGGGTCCACAGTAATCGATTGGCCAAAAAAAAAGCTGTTGTTTCTATTTCCAATAATTTTATACGCTTTTCAAGTATCATAGAGAAGAACATGGTCGCTATTAACTGTAAAAATGTGTCAAAAAACTAGTACTTTATTGTTCCATTACTTACATAAGCAAACAGTGTTAACATGCAACCATATCTTGTAACAAGTTCTACACTCAAATTTTGAATGAGAAAATGGATTTGAAGTAAGAAACTAATTAAATGAAAAATGAGGCAGACCATGTTATAAATCTTCATTACTTTACAATAAGCAAACTCAAAAAAGATTTTTTTTAAAACTATAAAGCGGTCATCAAAAGTTGTTTCATTAGACATTCTGTTGAAGCTAAACAATGAATAAACCGACTGAAGAAACTAAGAAAAATTTATAATATTATTTATTATCGATTTTCCACACCATTAACTAGTATTGTAATAGTCTAATAATCCATTAAATTTCATATTATTATTTTCCCTAGAATAATAATAAGTAAATGTACCTATACATATTTAACTAAATAATGGAAAAAATATAAGTTATAAAAAAAAACTCAGATGATAATTATGTTTTATTTAGGTGATACAATCAGTCATAATTTAAAATAAAAGTAACTGAAATAAATAGAAGACATTTGTGCACGGTGTTCTTCGACGTATTTTATCTTAGAATAATAATACGAGTCTATAATACTATACCGGGTGTCCGGTCTCAATCGCGATCATAGAAATTTAACATGGTATTGTTTATTTTTGCTAATTCCAGCTCGCCAATACAACCTATAAGTAAGGTGATGGTACTGTAGTGAGACCGTGATTGTGATATTGTTGCTATTTGATGAAGATTAAATTTTGAATTCGTCTTTTACCCCTTTATTTTGATTTCAGTTTTTCTGGCTCGTCTAGTAGACTTTATAATTATTTTCACTTACCTACGTTGTGTTTATTCTCAAAAATCTCTGTGTCGTAACACAAATTCGGATTCAAAGTAGTGTCAAAACGCATGGGAGAAGAAATTAAAAGTCAAGATTAAACAAAAGTAATTTATTTACAAATATGTCGAAGCATTTAGTACAGAAAAGAAAGAGTTGTGAGAGTTTGATCCAACTTTGCCATGTGTTAAAATTATTGTTCATGCTTATTTAATTTAGTTTGTAAGACACGTAACCACAATTTCTTTGGAATTTAAAATAACGAATTTAAGCAGCTGATTGATGATTGGAACTCTATTTACGTACTACAAATCTACCCTATACTTCAGTTAATATTGTTTGGACTTATATTATCGAGGAAAGAATTTAATCGCGTTTATTAAGTTACACTTGTACCAGAGTCGGCATGTAACATGCTCGCGGCCTTTATAAGTGCATCGCTTTTTACGATTACGCCCTAGTGCCGAAATAACGCCTCAGGTAAAAGTTAGGCGCCTAAACACCCATAATAATTTTCGAACAAAACCCGGATATACAAGTCCTTGCAAAATAACTGAATGAATGTATAGAAGTCATTTCTCTCACAAATGTTTCGTCCACGAGCTTTGACAAAGACTTGTTCAGAAGTTTGTCATTTCGCGACACCGGTTGATTATAGATAACCTGGATGGTTATTTTGTCTCGTTTATCTCGTAGTAGCCTGCATATACGTGGTATATGCCGTTGGAGCGGGAATTGCAACGCCGGAAACTATACGACCACGACTCTTCCCATGAAGATGGCCGACAAACGAGTCTATAATTTCAGGTGCAATTGCGCAAAGGACAAATACTTTTGCTTTCATCGCCTAGCATGACGCGAGAAAGAAATTTGTCCTACTCTACCTTATATTTAATATGCAACAAATCATTCTACCTTCAAAATTTTGTATGAAGAAATTCTAGATTGATTTGAGGCGAAGAAATCGCTGGAAACCCTTTGATTTAGGTTATTGATTGATGTGTTAAGTTTTAATAGTTTAGGGTTGAGCATTACACTCAAATCAAAATAAATAAATAAATTAATTAATTAAATTTAAGTAATACGGCAAAATAAGTATTGCTGCATTTCCTTACTAGAAATTAAGTTATATGTCTTTGATTTTAGAAAGTATTAACTATTTATTTCCAACATCAAAAAAATAAAAAAAAATAATTAAACTTATATTTCAAAGTTTTGAATTTAAAATTCTTTAATAAATTTGTGGTCACGGTAAATGATAGATAACGTTAATTTAATTTATTAAATTACTTGAAGAAACTTAAATGAAATTATTGCATAAAATAATTAATCAAAATAATATACATAGGCGTTCTAGCCCAAAATCCCATGTATTTTCTTATGGAGATAAACGGATATCCGTTAGAAAGAAACAGGGAGTCATTAGATAAAAACAGGTAATAAACAGGTAAAAAACGGGTAAAAACAGGAAATAAACGGGTCCCTGTTTCTTTCTAACGGATATCCGTTTATCTTATCGGTAAAATAATCACGCATACGTATAAAAACATTTATGAAACGAATGACCTTGAACGCTAATTTGAATCTCCATAAGAAAATACATGGGCTAGAACTAGAATTGGGCTAGAACGCCTATAGCTTATCTACTTGTAATATTTGTAAATGTGATTAATAAAAATTATTTAAAGAAATTATTGTATTATTTTACGCACCGACAAATAGTACTTAATATATTTAAAAAATGTTAGCTCAAAAACAAAAATAATAGAAAAAAAAAGTTGCGCATAAAAGATTGAAATCAATTAGAAAAAACTAGAAATTGATAAAATCATGATTTACGTACAATTTCTGTCAATAATAAATTTTGACAGACTCGAACCTTGTATTAGAATTGATAATGAACAACCAAATTTAGACACTTCTTCAGAAGAAGATTAATCTTCTCTTTCTCTTTAGTATTTCTATACATTAAATAGATTTTCGTTATCCTTACAGAAATCAATTAACCAAAATTCCACAGAAATTGACACATGGAAATCTTCCATTGATTCCAAATCACGCAAATCTTGCCAAATTATTATTACTAATCACAATTGAAGCTTTTCAAACGTTTAATAAAATTGTTTTTATTTTGCATATCCCAAATTGTTGAATCAGCAGAATATGATTATTATCACACTCTCCCATAACCAAAAATCCTAAAACAAGCCTATTTTATACCATAACCCCTGTCCATTGTAGTGTATTAAAAACTCCTAAGGTTGGGATCCGCGCATGTAGACACAGAGGATGTCAACCAGCTAGAGTGTTTTTGATTATTAAAGTTTAAGTAATAATATCAATCGCATATTATTTAAACACAACAACACCACAATTTGGCGACGAGTACAACGAACCAACGACGGGTAGTGACATTTTTGCATTTTTAACAAACGTAGCGCCGTGAACGTTATCAACAACAACATAACCTCAAAAGTGGTCAAACACGTGCTGCAAAAATGTCCTCAACACACGTTCAAGCCCAAATCAACCCCTTCGACATCACAGACACCACCAACATTGGAGCTAGATGGGACAAATGGATTAACAGATTCGACAACTACCTAGTTGCCATCAACATAAAGGAGGAGGCCAGGAAAGTAGCTCTATTACTCCACTCAATAGGTGAAGATGCTCATGATTTGTACTTAACACTACCCGACCCTGTCCTAGATCCCCCAACAAACGACACTCCACCCCCTTCCGAATACCAACTCGTCAAATTAARACTTAACACTCATTTTAAGCCAAAATTAAACACGGACTTTGAGATTTTTAAATTCCGCCAAGCGAGACAACACGACGATGAATCGACCGACCAGTTCTATGCACGACTTCTCAAATTGTCAAAAACATGTTGTTTTACAAATATCGAAGCTGAAGTCAAATCACAAATTGTCCTAAACACTACAAGTTCAGAACTACGACAATTTGCGTTAGCACAACAACCAAATTTAGACGTTCTCTTAACACACGCRCGCACATTGGAAAACACAAAATCTCAAATGGCAGAAATAGAAAGAAAAGTGCAGAAAGTTGTAATAAACAAACCAAAAGATAAACGACAGCCAGAGAAAAGAAACCAGTCAAGAAAATGCAACAWTTGTGGAAACAACTGGCACCCTAATGGCCGACAAAGTTGTCCAGCCCGCAGAATCACGTGCTACTTATGTAATAAACAGGGTCATTTCAGCAAAGTCTGTATGTCTTCGCAGAAACCAAAATCGCAGGACAAAYATCCAAACAAACGAGCACCGAATAAGGCAGTGAACAGAACACAACAACACCACGCAGATGAACAACACTCTGACGTTTCCTTCACTATTAAATCGAATAGAAACAACGAACTTCCGCATGTAACACTACAGGTTGAGAATAGAAGCATTCGATTTTTAATTGACACCGGAGCATCGATAAACATAATAAATTGGGAGTTGTTCATGAGGAAATTTTCTCAAGTAAGTCTCATTAACGACAACAGCATGATTTTTCCATACAACACAAGAAACACACTCAAAATAAAAGGAAAATTTTTAACAACTCTGCAACACAAAAACACACGCGTCAAAACGGAAATATTCGTTATAGAAGGTACAGGAGAACCYCTCCTTAGCTATGAAACGTCGAAATTATTGAAACTGGTCGAACTTTCAGTCAACACAGTCACACATCCAATAGACATGACTTTTATAGAACAACACTTCCCCAAACTAACAACCGGAGTTGGAARCCTAAAAGACTTCGAAGTAAAACTACACATCAACAAACAAGTAAAACCTGTAGCCCAAAAACATCGAAGAATTCCATTTMATTTGCGGAAAACTGTAGAAGTCGAAATCCAGAGACTAATTAAAGAAGACATAATCGAAGAAGCACAGGGACCTACCCCTTGGGTCTCACCCATTGTTATAGTTCCCAAAAGCCATGATCCAACACAAATTCGATTATGCATTGACATGAGAGCCGCGAATAAAGCAATCGAGAGAGAGAGACACATAACCCCAACCATAGACGATGTTATCACATCACTAAACGGAGCCAAATATTTCAGCAAAATAGACTTAAATGAAGGCTATCATCAATTGATACTAACCGAAGATTCYAGACACATAACAACCTTTTCGACACATGTAGGCCTTTTTCGAYACAAAAGGTTAATCTTTGGAATCAATGCCGYTGCAGAAATTTTTCAGAATACCATCGGACAAGTTTTATCCAACATACCTGGCGTGATCAATATCAGCGACGATATTCTTGTATTTGGCAAAACACAAACAGAACATGACAAGGCCTTAACAGAAGTTTTAAGGAGGCTAACCAGTTCAAACCTAACAATAAACAAAAAGAAATGTATCTTCAGTGTTAACAGCATCAAGTTTTTCGGTCATATATTCAGTGACAAAGGGATCTTCCCAGACCCAGAAAAAATTAACGCGTTCCTAAGTCTAGCCCCTCCTCAAAATCAACAAGAATTGAGAAGCTTACTTGGGATGATCAATTATGTGGGAAAATTTATTCCCAACCTTGCAAACAACACACAACCACTAAGGGAACTCATCTCTAAAGATCGACTGTGGAAGTGGTCCGATGAACAAGATGAAGCATTCAAACTTCTAAAAGAGCAATTAAGTGACGTTAAAAATTTGGCATACTTTAAAACAGACGCCCAAACACACGTCCATGTAGATGCAGGTCCTTACGGACTAGGAGCAATCCTTTCACAACAACATAATGAAAAGACAGCAATTATTGCCTATGCAAGCAGAGCATTGACAGCAACTGAACAACGGTACAGTCAGATTGAAAAAGAAACCTTGGCAGTTACATGGGCAATCCAACATTTTCACACATACCTATACGGAGCTAAGTTCATACTCCACACTGACCATAAACCACTAGTCAGCATCTTTCAAAACCCAAGATCAGCATTAAGCAGTCGAATTGAACGTCTATGTCTTCGAATCCAACAATACCAGTTTGAAGTAGTTTATCAAAAAGGTATAAATAATCCATCAGATTACTTATCTAGATATCCAGCAGCAATACAAGCAACAAAACATGACAAGATAAGCGAATATGTCAACTTCATAACAACACATGCCGTTCCTAAAGTTTTTCGTCTGGAAGATATTGAAGAAGCTACTAGAAAAGACGAATCTCTGCAACTTTTGAAACAAGCACTACTTACAAACAACGACAACTTGTGGAAAAACCCTAAGTTAGCAYCTTTTCATAAGATCAAACATGAACTAACAATTTCTGAAGACTGCATCTTGAGAGGAAACAGACTGATCATACCGCTCAAACTTCAAGAAAAAACCATTGATCTTGCTCACAAAGGACACCAAGGAATAGTAAAAACTAAACAACTACTAAGAACTAAAGTTTGGTTTCCTGGCATAGATAAGAAAACAGAAAATCGAATTAGGAGCTGTCCTGCATGTCAAGCCGTAACACCAACGCATCATCGAGACTCTATAATTACGACAGAACCTCCAAGATCGCCATTCCAAGGGATTGATATAGATTATGTTGGTCCATTCCCAAATGGAAAATATATTCTCCTGTTAGTAGATGAATATTCTCGATTTCCTCTTGCAAAAGTGGTGCCTTCAACCAACGCCCACCACTTAACCACTTTCTTAGAAGAAACGTTTTCCACATTTGGAATCCCAGAAACGCTGAAATCTGACAATGGTCCACCTTTCAACAGTAATGAAATTAAAACTTTGCTCGAAGACCTTAATGTCAAACACCACAGGATTACCCCATACTGGCCAGAAGCGAACGGAATGGTTGAGCGTTTCGTTAAAACAATCAAGAAATCGCTAATCTGTGCTAAATTAGAAACAAACCACTTTACATCGCAACTCCAGCAGTTTTTATTAAACTACCGAAGCACACCTCATGGCAACACAGAAAAACCGCCATTTGAACTACTTTTCAACAGAACACCAAACAACTTTCTTCCAGCCGTTCCTAACACAACAATTGAACAATCAACCTATGACAGAGCCACTGACATTAACAATCGATCAAAGAAGAACCAACATGCTAATAACAAACGCAGAACGAAACCACACAATTTCAAAATTGGTGACAAAGTTCTTTGTAAACAACACAAACAAAACTGTCTCACACCTTACTACGACAATACACCCTACGTCATTACYCAAATCAATGGCAGTCAAATCACAGCTCAGAATAGATTCAAATCAATAACGCGTAACTCCTCATTCTTTAAACATTTCACAAGTCCTCCCGACGATCCCCCCAGAGTCCCTCCAAAACACAACGAACCTCTAGAACACCCTCAAACCCTTGATATCGTCCATAACAACTTTAACCCCGCTGATGACTCAGAAGAAAATGAGGCCCTTACACCACATGTCCCCGAGGAGGAGAGGGAGATCATAGACCAAGGTCCAAACGAAGAAAATCCGATCCCAATGAGAGCTGACCGTCCCGAAAGAACTAGACGACCCCCTGCTTATCTCCGAGACTTCGTCACAAACATTAATAGTGTCAAGTGCATTGAGTACAAATTTAAGTGCAAGACCTGTCCTAAATCAAATAAGTGCTGAGTGCTTAGTAAACAAAGTATTTTAATTCTTTGTCATTTTGTATACTAGAATTAACTTTTTTTTTTAATCTAACAAGGGAGGAAATGTAGTGTATTAAAAACTCCTAAGGTTGGGATCCGCGCAKGTAGACACAGAGGATGTCAACCAGCTAGAGTGTWTTTGATTATTAAAGTTTAAGTAATAATATCAATCGCATATTATTTAAACACAACAACACCACATCCATAAGTTCGTCGCCGTATCAAGAGAGAGTAAGCTATACATAATGCTAGACAAAGACGATTGTATATCAATTTCCGAAAACGAAATGAAAATTTGCTACGACCACTTTCCGCAAACCTTATCACTCAGTTGACCACGTGAAGTAACCCTTTTAATGGACTCAGTTTTGTCCGAACACTGTGATGGAATTTTAACTTCAATTGACGACTAGAATATTCAAAAATTGGCAAATAACAAGTGGCTTTTAACCATTTCACATCTTACTACCATCACTACCATTTGCCCAAGCGAAAATTCAGTCAACGAAATTATTCAAGAGAACAGTCTTTTGACACTGAGACCTAAATGTAGTGCTTTTATCGAAAGTGCACGAATTTACGCAAGTATTAAAGACAACGAAACCATTTTTACTCAACTTATCATCCCGGAAGTTGAATACGATTGCTGTTCTGACCTGACCGAAAAAAGAGAAAATTCTTCAACTCAAACCTCTTCAAATTAACCATTTAAATTTGGACGAACTAAACATAGAAAAACAAAAACTTCGAGAATTTGATGATGCCCTCAATCGAATGATCCGAGAACCTTTCGCAACAAAACATTGGAGTACCTTTACCTGGATCATTATCATTATTGTGACCTTCCAATCTGCTTTGGTTATTTTGCAAATGCGGAATTGCCAAACGACTTCTCCGAACATTTAAACCTAACGATGACGATGGACACCACTCCAAGGGTTGTTGTACTCAAATCTGCAACTACTGTAACGTCAGCTGTACTGTAAATAGGGGGCCATCCATATCATCTTTTGAATTACGCGAAGAAGAACTATAAGTGAAAAGTGTAGTGCTTAGTACTTTTAGATTTCGATTTCACTCTTATTAAAGAATATCGCAATTTCTTAGGGGGAAGGTGTTACATAGAACTTATCCCTTATTCAGCATTTTTATATTATAAATATCGTTCCATTTAGCTTAGCTTAGTTAGTTGCTTACAGTTAGTTGCTCACAGACAGTTGCCCATAGACAGTTGTTAGAGTCAGATAGTGCTTGTTAGAGTTCGTTGTAAAAATTAAAAATAAAAGTTTCTTTTTAAATAATTCCTTTAATCTAAAATATTACATATACAGGGTGTTTCACATAACTTTACGAGGCTTGCGCCTAATGTACGCACCCAAATATACAAAAGTCACAGAACACTGGATTCAAAAAATACACATTTAATTATTTAATTTTTGGAAACCCATGACAGTAGTTGTCAAACTAAACACTGTTTCATTAATAGTCATAAACTGCAGTTTTTCAGAAGCAATTATCATTTGTTCCATCAAGAGACGGCATGAATATGATTGTAGTTTATCTATCTCAATCACTAACTAACTAAAAACGTAGTAATTTTTGAAAGGGTGAACAAACTAGAGAAGATTATCCAATTTTTCAAAATTTGTAATTGAGTTCGTATCGGAATATGTATTACTGATTGCATCTTACAGGCGCAGGCCTCGTAAAATTACGTGAAACACCTTGTAAACTACGGTTTTTGTTAATTATGTTGTTTTCAATTTAATTTGTCCAATTGTGTAAAATCTTATGAGTAACGAAAATAAATTTAGTGATTTTTGGGATCAATTAAGAGAATTTTCGCGAAAAAAAAGGTTATTAGCTCGAAAATTTATTCAAAAATGCAACAAGAACACCATTTTCGGTTTTGTTTAGTGATTTTTTGGATTATTTTTGACCAAATTAAGGTGTTTCTGACAAAAATTTTTTAAAAACTATTGAAAAAGGCAATAATTGAGTAATTTTTTACTTAATTGATCATTGTTCTGCTTATTTCTAAGAAATTTCGTGAAATAATTGCATTTTGTCTGAAGAACGTCCGAAAAAAACAAATTAAATGATGTAATTTTTAACCTAATTTAGTGTTTTTTTTTGGCCCAGTTTAGACCAAAAACGTATTTAAACACTCGAAAAAGAAAACAATAACAGCATTTTCGACAAAATTTGATAGTTTTTTGATTTATTTTTGCAAAAATTGCGTTTTTGGCCGAAAAACAAACAAAAACGCACTAAAAAGCCAAAAACGGGAGTTTGTGGCAAAATGGTGTCATTTTTGGGCAAATTTAATAATTTTTAGGTCCCGTTAAAAGAATTATTGCGAAAAAATAAAACATAAGGCAAAAATAGCGTTATTTTCGAGGAAAATTGGTAATTTTTCAGTCCGGTTTAAGGAATATCGTAAAAAAAAAACTTTATTTTTAATGTAAAAACTTATTTAAACATTGGGAAAGGCTACAAAAACACCATTTTAGCCTAGTTTAGGTATTTTTTCTAACGAATAAAGGAGAATTTTTTGCAATAGTGTCATTTCCACAAAAAAGTTTTTCGTGTATTTGATGGAAATGTAGTACATTGTTCAATTCAAAATCGTAAAGAAAAGTGGGACTTTGATTGTAAGCAACACATTTCTTAACGATTTCAGTTAGCAACACTTTTCTTCACGATTTTGTGTTAATTAAACTTTATACATTTTAATTATGAATATTAATAGAAAATGAACAATTATTTAAAGTATTAAATGTTATTAACATCTTCTACTTTTAGCAAACGTAATTCATCAGCTCGGCAGGCTCCATGTAAAGCAAAAATCATAACTACTTTCATGAACAGGAAGGTATCATCCAGGGCCTTAGTGAAAAACGTATTGATGTTATCCATCGTAAAAACCTTAGATTTTTTGGCCACATATCCGTCATTTTGACCTTTTAAATATGCAAGCAACTTTTTATAAGTAGAAATGTCAACATTTTCAATAGCCAGCGTACTTTTTAACATTGAATTAAAAAATTAATGTAATTAATGACAAATACCTTTTTAAAAAAGAAAGCGATTAGGATATTTTCATCACTTCCTTCTACTTTTTTTGATTTTCTCCACGAACAAAACTGTTCATAAGTTTTCTCATACTTTTCTCTTGCCTTCGACGGTAGCAAATGTGAATTAATTTCTGCTACTGTTGTTAAAATATTGGAAAACCCTTCACCCAATTCAGTCATTTTGCACAATGAAAAATTTATTTACTAAAAACATCATTCTCTTGTTTTGCTACCATGTTAGCAAATGTTATTTTGGTCAAATACACGAAAAAATAGCATGTAAAATAGTAAAAAATTGTTAACGCAGTCCTGGTGGGACTTGTACCTACAAGAGAACAGTCAAGAGTGACGCCAAGATAGACCAGATGAAAGTTGTGCTTAAGTGGTATTCCATTTAATGAAATGTTTATTTTCTTTTCTTTTTAAGAATTTGTCAAATGAAAGCAAGAAACTTCTGTTTTCGATGAGTTTACACACAGTCGCCACTTCTTGAAGTAATCACACAAAGCAGAAGCATCATGGGAAAGTTGTTTTTCTAGTTGATCAAATTCCTTGTGTTGAGAAGTCAGAGCAATATCGTCAGCATACACAAATTTTCTTGAAACTGTATCAGGGAGATCACTCGTATAAACATTAAAAAGTAATGGAGATAATACTGCACCCTGAGGAAGACCATTATTAAGAGTTTTTACTTTGCTTAATTTTTCGCCGATAAAAACTCTAAATTTTCTATTTGTTAACGTGCTCTCGATAAGTCTGACAATCCGTTTGCAAGATACGATTTTAAAAAGTTTGTGTATTAAACCATCCTTCCATACTGTATCATATGCGGCAGTGAGATCCAAAAGAACAACAACAGTTTTTAAACGTTTTTCGAAACCAAATTCAAGGTGGGTCATTAAAGGTAAGACTTCTTTGTGGTCGAAATCAAGCTTGTTCAGGAGAGAGAACATCCTCAACAATAGGAGAAATGCGCTGATAAATCATCCTCTCCAGAATCTTGTAACAAACACTCAACAAAGAAATTGGCCGGTAACTGGACGCTTCCTGTGAAGATTTTCCCTTTTTCAAAATTGCGATCACCTTGGTCTTTTTAAACTCCGAAGGCAGACGGGCTGAAATGAAAATGTCATTAAAAAAAGAAGTAATCCATTTCAGTGCAAAACTTCCGAGATTTTTGATGAATTCTGGGTAGATCCCACCAAAACCAGCCGATTTTTTACACTTCGTTGATGATATGACTGCTTCTAATTCATCTACATTGAAACATCTCGATAGTTCTTCTAAAATGTTTGCTTTTCTTTTTTGTTTTTAACCCGACGTTTCATCGCCTTCCTTTCTTTTCTTCCTAACTTAACGGAGTTTGAAACGTTTACCAAACGATTAGCTACAGTGTTTGGGTTGATCGCAAAATCTGACTTAGGTAGATCAAAGTTTGAAGATCCAAATGTTATAATGTAATGTTATAAAAGTATTTGTTTTAAAACTCTTCTTTTGATTAAGAATGGTCAATTGCACCTTCTTTGTCCTAATTAGAATAAACAAAAACTGTTTGTTTACTTAAAACAAATAAATAGTACTTGCGTACTATATAAAAAAGAGTTTTTTTTGTTGTAAAAATGACCACTGATCATCGAGCAAAAAGGATCTAGGAGACACGAGCCTTAAATATAAGACGAACAAAATGATATAAAATTTGTCAAGTTGTCAGGACATGACTTTTTTTGTCGCCCTGTGTAATAAATACAAAAATTAAAACGTACTTCATTACTAAAATTGACGTCTCTGAACATTGGACCTACAAAGCTATTTTGTATTAGAACTACTCTTGTATTAGAACTTCTGTTTTTACGTTGGACGTTTTTACTTTGGATTAGAATAATTTGGATGATTTTATTTTGGACAATTTTGTATGCGTCCAATTTAATACGATGAAAAACGTTGTACTTACTATGTGCTGTTCTGAGAGCCATAAGGACCGCGAAAGGGCTAAGGCCCTCCTTCCTCGAGCCTCAAACAACTCCCTCGGTCGTTATGGCCTTCTTAACAGCCCTGAATAATTAAATAACTATAAAATTACAGCAGCTGAACAGTTTGTAAACAATTATTACTTACTTTAAGACGGTACTAATTTTAAATATTATAAACATTTTGCTTGTAAGCAAATTTCTACACACTCTTTGTGACACAAACCATGACAGTCTTGAAATATTTATTTAAATAAAAATATCCACAAATCTACACAATATAAATAATTTAACATTTTCCTAATCACATTCTATTCACATTCGATAATGACTATCATAAATATTAAGTTTTTTGAGTCTGTCTTCCAGACTCTCATACTCCATATCACCAACGTCATTCTTTTCGTACCACGGGTGTCCATATTCCGAATGACTGACATAATGCCCATCTTTTGCATGATCCTTCGAATGTAAATGAAAATGTACATTTTGCGGTTGGGCATATTGTTTTGACGAAGCGTATTTCATATGAGTCCATTTGGCAGCAATTCCACTAGAGTGAAGCATCACCAAAAGCAACAAAAGTCCCAAACTTTTCAAAGAGAAAATAGTCAGGAATGCCAAAATGGTAACAATTACACCTAATTTAAATACTATCATCGGCATCGCGAATTTCAATCTGCGAGCCACTCCAAAACAACGGCCTAAAAAACAGTTACTTGGAAGAAAGTGAGCCTAAAACGTATTGAAAATTTTTTTTTACCCATTAAGTTGTTTTGGAGGTTTTCTTTATTCCAGATCCATGCCCACAAGTTCTTTAATCTTCTGCTTATTAAGTCGACAATTGCTGAGGATTTTCTCTGTTCTAATCCGGTGCTCGAGGCAAAACTCCAATGGCAGAAGATGATTATTTGCAATGTCACAAGCAGGATGTATGTCTTCATGTTTTCAAACTGCAAAAAAAGGGCTTGAGAGTGAGTTTTAGAGAGTAAGTTTTATCCTAATTCTAATAAATTACCACCGCATGCCAAAGTAATAACTGATGTTTTACATGTACTTTCTCCTGATTACACCAGAATAGCATGGAAATTCTTTATAAGTCACAATGTCAAGGTTAAGCAAGTACCGTTAATACTAGTGATGATTTATTAAGCAAAAATAAAGTTTGGTATTTTTTTTAAACAATTTCAATTATCCGCGTCAGTCTTTAATATACCAAGTGAATAAGAAGTATGCTTAAACTATTTATTTGATTGATGAATGATAAAGTACCTACTATAAAAATGTGATGTTTTATCAAGAGTAAAATTTTTCGAAATTTTCTCTTGTTTTTGAGTTCTGGCAACCTACTATAAAACCATTTTTCTCATGAAGGTTATGATTTAACGATTACAACTATGTACTTAATATTTAATTAAAAAAAAATTACATAACTCAAAAACAAAGCAAAATTTCATTCTCAAAAAACGACCACATTATTAATATTACTTTAATTTAGATTTATTATTATTTTCTGGAGGCAAATGATAAAAAAACTGCTTAGTTCCATACTTTATTTTCTCCCTGTAAGTATAATATTTGTGTGTAAACACCGAAGAATGTACTAGAAAACGATACACGGGTGTACAGGTACCGAACTTGAATAGGTACAGACTACACAATGTGTGTCACGTTAAACAGTACTTGTTTTAATCTTAAACCTCTTGAATGTCTTTCTTGTATTATCTATGCAAAATAGGTCGTAGACCTGAAACTCTTGTCTGCTCATCATTTTGTCCTCCTTTGTCTTCTTGGCAACAGAATAAAAACTATTTCATGTATCTATTATTTATTTTAATAATTAAATTACTAGGGCGTACTATAAGTATACTTCTCGTCACGATATTTGAACTGTCGTAAATCTTGAGTCGGGTACCCGAATTACTCTTAACAATAAGACATTAGGGTGGTTGTAAATAACAATATCAGTGAGGATAGAATGCGGCAGCACGTCAGAATGGTCCGGACTTAAAAAAATTTGTTAGTATGTAGGTAATTTAAAAAGTTTTATTTCATTCTTTGGTAATGCGGTCAATTCCTTTTTTGATCAGGTCAGTGGTTCCTGTACCAAATGTGGGCACGTTATTATTTCGCCTTAAAAACGATTTCAATTGACTCCAAGCCATTTCGATGGGGTTGAAGATGCAGTGGTAGGGAGGAAGTCGCAAAACTGTGTGACCCGCCTCTTCAGCGACTTTGTCCACCTTAAATTGTTTTTCATAAGTTCGTGACCGCAACACTTCGAGTAATTCTTTTTTAGTGTAACTTGGATGATAATATAAA